AGATACTTCAATTGAATCCTGAACACTAGCGCGCTGCTACGTAACCCTAACCCATGCAATGACGCATCCCTGCGCGCCAGCCATGGCCGCGCCTGCGCTCATGATCATCTACCACCACCATGGGTGGTGCACACACCTCGTTTCGCATCTGCATGCCCTGCTCCTCAGCGCACCTTGATCACACCTCATCCTGAACATTTTCTCCAGCCCACACCGACGCACTCGAGCCACCGAACGATGGACGTCCCCGACACCGACCCGCCGGCGCACCACGCCAACGCGGACGCGACAGCATTCCAAAACCCATGGCCCCCCAAGTCGCTGCTCGCCTCGCGCCAGGTCTTTGCGCAGTTCCCACTCGCCCTCGCGAAGCGCATCGAGGGGTACGACATCAAGCACATCCGCGTCGTGCACCCGGACTTTGGGACGCGCACACCGGACGAAGGGAGGATCAAGGCGACGTGGCTCGGGCATGCGGTGCGTGGTGTTTGTGGTCCTGCGCGCATTTGTGAGCTTACAGAACAGGATACCAGGGCTTCATAGTCCAGCTTCCGCCGGTCGCAGAGCTCGAGCCTGTCCGGATCCTGTTCGATCCCATCTGGTCTGAGCGTGCATCCCCGCACCAGTCTGCGGGCCCGCGAAGAAGGCTGCCGCCGCCTTGCGACCTCGACCAGCTTCCGGACTTTCAGTACGTTGTCACAAGCCACAACCAGTGAGCCAGCTGCTTCCTGTGGTCTCTGCTTGCGTCTTACGGCACAGCTCGGCGTTCGTGCAGCTATGACCACCTAGATTGGCCTACAATAGAGCGCATATACAAGATGAAAGGCTCGCATGTCACATTTGTCGCACCTCTCGGACTGGAATCGTGGTTTCGCAGCGGCGGCATACCGGCAGAACAGATCGCCGAACTAGACTGGCACGAAAGTGCAGAACTGCGCGCTAGCGAGAGGCACCCAACTGTCAAGTTTATATGTGCGCCCGCACAGCATGGCAGTGGTGAGTGCCCTCACTCAGTGTAGTCAATGGCGCAAATTCTAATGGGCAGCACCAGGTAGAAGCTTATTTGATCAGAGATCGACGCTGTGGGCTAGCTGGGCTGTACATCAAGATATTGGAGATGGGAGGAGAGCAGCTGTATATCACGCGGGGTAAGCGGCTTCTTAGAAGGGGCGTCGCGTCTTGACTAACTAGAATCGCCAGAGACACCGGCTACATGACGCATGGGGGACCTTGCCCAGCATTCGCTGGTACGTCTACTCGGCTCTTATGATCTCGCGAGTCCATGCTGACTTTGGTTGCAGAGATTGGAGAGAGGTACGGACCGTTTGACATGGCAATGATACCCATCTGGCGTGGCGGCTCACTTTCGTTCATAGCCGCAATGGGTCTCCGGGTACGTACCTACCTCTTCTCCTCCCTCGTGGTATGTCACCCTTACACTTCCGCGCGCCTCGTAGCTGGTCTCGACTGAGCTCATAGACGGCCTGCACGCGTCACCGGCGCACGCTGTGCGCTTGCACAAGGACATTCGGTCGCGGCACAGCATAGGGATGCACTTCGCGACATTCGCAGGGTCGGACGGAGAGGCGTGGGAGCCTGTTGCAGAATTAGTAGCGGCGAAGGAGAAGCAGCACGTCGGGGACTGGCACGAGGAGGGCGGGTTTGGTGTGATCGACATCGGAGAAACTGTTGTCGTCGCTATGGAGTGAGCTGGCGTGTCGGAGCTCTCGGGCGTGCTTGAATCTGCCTTGTGTTGCTCTGGAGCATTGTTATTTTATGAACTAAGTCAGTCATTTGGAGGTCATATATTCATGTTGGAATGCTTCATGTTGAGGCTACCATGAGGTGACATGGAACATTGTGGCGCGGTATCTGCCGAGGTGAATCCTTTTGACGGAGCCTCGGACTCCTGCGTCACTACGGATGCTGATATTTATTGCGCACGGACACTAGTAGATAGGTAGCACTTCAAATTGAGGAGAGGAAAAAAAAAGAATCCTTTTGACGACGCTGGCCACATGTGCAATCGAATCAGCTCCTCTGTCGAGGTGCGACTGCGAGTCAAGGGCTTGGGGGAAGAGCAGGGCCATGTGAATACTGCATAAACGGCCGCCACCGCGAGACGTCGGCGGCCTGAATCGATTCCGCAGCGAGCGGGACGCTTTCCATGTACGACGCCTGGTTATGTACATAAGCGTGTTTGGTAACCAGAAGCAAGCAAATCACAAAAATCACAAAGAGGGACCAAAACAGAGGGAAAACGCGGTGTCCGAGATCAACAGGGAGACGAGGGGAGAAGCAATGTCTGAGAGAAAATGGGCCACGACAAGTACAAAAACGGGGCAGGGAAGGGAGGAAAGCGCAAAAAAGGGACTTGAAGCCTAATGCAGATGGAGGTCAGACCAAGCGAGGTATGACAGAAAGTGCTAGCATGAACCTAATGCAGATGGAGGTCAGACGGGACGTCGACGAGACGTGTGGCCACCATCTGCGGTCAGGAGAATCCCAGTTAGGTACGCTCACTGCTGACAAGGCGTCGGCAATGTACCTAACACTCCTGAGCAGGTCCGTGTTCGTCCGCTGTTGGACTCATCCTGCTGCCGCAAGCAGGGGAACGGAGGCCGCGGCGGGCCTCTAGGCGGGAACGACGAGCGCTTCGAGGAGTCCGTGTGCGCGCGTCGCTCGCTCGACTTGTATAAACTACTGTACGGTACCTCTATAGGTGCACATTTTTCACGGAAATTGGCCAGCGCCGTGTTAATCGATACCCTAGGGAGGTCCAGCCCTCATTCACTATTGGCACACACATGTATAGATTTGTTCGAGCAAACGTTCAACTTTCCCTGCACTGGACCTCGTGCCACGGCAGCCCGGCGACAGCAATCGCATCCAGAGTCCGACGCACGCCCTCACGCTCCTGGGACACAACAACCGTTCCGCGGTCATCAAAAACACAAGCCGCGTTCCCTCCATTGCTCCAGGAATAAAAACTTTACACACACCGAGTATACAGCACGTTACACATAATTCAAGCACAGTCCTGACATACACCCACGTTAGTCCAGCCTCAGAACCCGCCCTTGCCCTGCACACGCGCGACGGCGTTGAGCATGCCCTTGGCGACGTTCAGGGGGCCACCCATGCCGCCACTGCTCGCGACCTCGTTGCCGTCCGCGTCGCGCCACACGCCGTCGCGCCCGACGGGGCCGAGCGTGGCCGAGTTCTGGTTGTGGTTCAGCGCCCGGAGCCACTCGCGCGCGAGCGCGGGCGAGTCGACCATCACGTTCGCCTCCTGCGAGTGGTACCAGCTCTGGGCGTCCTGGTTCCCGTTCCCGAGGATCGTCACCTGCTCGTCGATGCAGCAGAACTTGACTGTGTGCGCTCTTCAGTGTCAGGGTCTGAGGCCAAAAAAAGGGGAGATGGGCGGGCACGCACCGTGGCAGTTCCGCTCCTTCTTGCTCGCGTCGACCGGTCGGTCGCGGTCCTTGGCCGTGTACCAGGACGCGCGCAGGTTCTGGCGGAGGTCCTGGCCGGAGGACTCGCCCTCCTTGCTCAGCACGTCGCACATCTTGGCGAATACCTTGCTGTTCGTCCCGCCCTGCATCGGCAGCATCTCACCCTGATCGTTGTACCCGAGGCAGACGTACAGCGTGCACACGATGCCCCGCCGGCACGCGTCCAGCACGGCCTCGACGACCTCGGGCGCGTTGAAGTCCGGCGTTTGGCTGTGGGCGGCGCGCTTGTGGTGAGCAACACGTGCTGAGCATGGAGGAAAGCGGGCGGACGCACATGAACACGCTCTTCTGCGCGAGACGGATGCCGGTCTCCCAGGCGACGTTCTGGGGCACGTCGACGTCCGCGTGTCCCGGCGCTGCCCACCAAACAGAAACTCGTCAACAGGGCTATCCTGCTCGTACGCGACAGAGTGCTCACTTCCGTGCGGCGCGCGGTTGACCATGGCGATGGGCACCGGGTCGTGCCGCTCATGCACGACGAACGGCTCGAAGCCCTCGGCCCTGATGAGCGTAAAGTCCGTCATCGGCTTCGGCCGCTCCTTGGCCTGCTTCTTCTCAGCCTTCTTCTCGTGCTCGCGCTTGACGGGATTGTGCGTGGTCTCCTCCCCGTCCACGGCGGCGGCGCCATCGCCCTGTGGCTGTGGAGACGGAGAAGGAGACGGCGACGGCGACGGCTGGCCCGTCGTGTTTGCGTCCGCCCGGTCCGTGTTCGACGTGTCTGTCGGGGCCAATTAAGAGCTGTGCCGTTTGGGTCGCTGCGAGGTAGGGACTCACCAGGGTGCCCCGGCAGCGCGTCCGCGCTGTTCCTGATCAGCTGCTCCTTCATGCGCTGCGCCTCGTCGAAGCAGTCGCCCGCGCCCGCGCGCTCCTGGCTGAGCGCGGGGTTGAGCAGCGACGGCAGCGGCGGGTCCATCACCTCGGCCCAGCTGAGGAGCGCCATGTCGTAGAACGCCTCGACGATCGCGCCCTCGAGGTGCACGTTCAGCTCGAGGTTCACGCGGTCCTGGATGTTGTTCGACGACAGGCACGCGACGCGCCGGTCGATGACCATGTACTTGGCGTGGAAGGTGCCCATGATCGGCCGGTGGTAGTTCATGACCTCCAAGTGAATGCCGCCGAGCTCCTCCTTGGCGGGCAGGCCGAGGCCCGCCCAGTCGGATGGGTCGACGCGTTGGTGGTTCTTGGCCACTTGCTTGAGGCTGCCACGGTCGAAGATGAGTTTCACGACGGGACGTTCGTTGGCGGGGAGGTCGCGGCAGCGATTTGAGAGCTCGATGAGTCCGTCATGGATGCTATCTTCGTGTTAGGATACGCTGCAAGAGGGAGTGTCACAACAGGCGTACAAATGCGAGCCCCAGCTTGGCTCCCAGTAGTTCGTGGCGAGAAACACTTCGTGTTTCGCGCTGATGATTAGCTCCTTGTAGTAACGCATGATATCAGGGACCCTACATTGGATAAGCATCAGGAAGGGATATAGCATGCACAAGACATACAAGGAGATGATCGACATGGGTATGACGCCAGAGGATCCCATGAGGGACGGAGAGCACATGTTCTTAAGCGGGCCATGTTCAAGGGTATCAAGGACGTTGCTGTAAATCTAGCCCATCGGCAGCACCGTTGAGCTGGAAAGCGTAATGGATGATAGGAGGTGACGCGCCTTTAAGAATAGGTCACTCGGCCTGTAGGGAAACTGTCCGCATTTCTCGACAGCGTCCAGCTCCTCTTTGGTAAAATCGTCGTGTATGCGTAGCTTCTTTGAGCGTGATGATGTTTCTGGCTTCTCAGGGAAGACCTTGTACGCGATGTCGAGGATCCTCGCTTTGGGGTCGGTGGCGAGGGCCTCTGTGACCGCGCCGTTCACGGTCTTGTGGGCAGTGGCGAGCTGGAAGACCTGTTCAGAAGGCATACTGCAGGACTCTGAGAGGTGAAGCACGGGGGTATCCAAAGGCAAGGGGATGTGTGCCAGCTCCACACGAGTCGTGGTATTATTTATCTCGACTGCGCGGAACCTTGGTCAAGGCACAGAAGCGGAAGCGCCAAGCCCATGGCGATGTCGTCACTGGCGAGGAGCAAAACGAAACCAGTGGACACTGGGAGGATTGAACTCCCGACCTCACGCAAGCAGCCGTCGAGAATGCGAAGCGTGCGCGCTACCACTGTTCCAAGTGCCCAGCGTCGATGTTGCCCGTCCGAGTTTACTGGGGTTGCACGCGTTTGCGACCTCGCCAAGATGAAATCGGCGATTCAGATTCGAGCACTCGCCAAATATCGACCTGCCTCCAGTGCAGAGAAACAGTATATGTCCAACCAGCATTCGTTTTCCTGTCCGCGATGCCAGTCAGGTTAGTGAATCACATGTGCGGCCTCGGCAAGGAGAGGAGCAATGGTGAGTGCGACATCACGAACTATTTCTCTCTTCTCATAATGACCCTAGGTTCTCAAGATCTCAAGCTCACGAGTAATCTAGATGCTACAAGATAATTAATTATTTTTTCTGACATATTTATTCTGAGACAGTCGCAGTCGAGCATTGCAAGCTGTTCAATGGCTGTCCCACCTGGTGAGCGAGTTACATACCATCATGGGTTCACATGCTCTTAGTGAGTTTTAGTGCGTCTACTTTTTTCTTTCGGCTTGCC